TCCTCCGTCAGTCTCTAGGTTGCGTCCGCCATGGAACCTGACTCCCTTTTGGGTAAGCTCCTATAACTCGTCAGGACAATTTGCGTTTCACTAGATCACAAATGGTACTTACAGTGATGTAATTGCCGAGTTCGACGATGGAAGGCGCAGGAGTGTCACAGACCTCGATGCGGTGTGAGATGTCCATATCTTGGCTTAAAGCGCCAGCGACAGTGGGACTCCCCTCTGGGTAGAATACGAGTGCATTCTTACCCTTGAACCTTTGACCAAGAGGCTCGAAGGAAGAAGCCGTAGCAGACAGAGTACTCCCCTGGGAAACACTGCTATCAACGAACGGGTCTTCCGGGGCCTGGCTTTGACCAAGATAGTTGTTGCCCTGGACAGAAGTGCCCTGGGAGCTCTCGGCAGGAGAGAAGACGGTGATCTGGGTGTTGGGGGTACCCTGGATCGAGTCAGCAGCTCCCTCAGCAGGAGAAGACATGTTTGCGTAGACACGATGGTCCGCGCGAGAAGACATGTTGTCGATGGAGGAAGACAAGATGCCACAACAAAATGATGAGTAGATGAAATCTGAAGTTTGACTGGTATACGTGCTTCTCAAGAAGCTGAAAGAAAAGAAGAAATGCGACCGAGATCAAAACCCAAAGATCCTGTTCCACATCCAAGTTGGATAGTGAAGTCGGAATGATGTTGAGGTGGGTGAAGAAGAAAGGAAGAGAGGGAGGAGGGGAAGGAAAGCTGGGAGCGACTTGGGTAGGAGGGAGATGCGTGAGTGGGGCTGCCTCAGGGCAAGTTAAGAATAGGCGGGGTGCAGGTAGGAATAATGGCAGGAGCAGACGGGTGGGTTGTAGGCCAAGGTAGAGGAGAAGCTAGCCTCAGGGGCCTAAGTTGCAGGGACGGAGTAGGCCAACTTATTGGTTTACAGAGACTCAGCAGATGGGACCCACGTGTAATAGAGACATATCAAGAGTGTATTTCCCCTAGTAAATTCATCTAGCCCCCTATTGCGTCTGATATATATGCGGCTCGGTCCCTAAATCTCAACGACGAACGCGTCTCAACCTCTTGCTGCCCCGGCAACGGCTTCTCTCCTCTCCTTGATTCACGAGGCCATTCCTGCATATCTAATTTCGTTCTCCTTTATTGAATTAATATGTGTGCGAGTTGTGTGCTTCGCCTGGTCTCATGAGGTCTCGTGATATCACGATGTTGAACTCCCAAGTTGAGACCGATGATCGGTCCTTGGGCCCCCCAACCCCGCTCGTGACTCCGAAGCTTTGACTAGGTACCTTGATGCATCTCTTGAGTTCGTATCTATCTATTGATCATGATGTCTCCGTGGTGTTGAGGCCATTCGTGATGGTGATCCGTATACTGTACATATAGATATGCTTGTCTGTTACTCCACGATGATGCTTCCAACATGCGTGCACTTTTGAAATAAACTATCCTCTCTCGTTCTATGATCTCTATTGTGTATTAGAAAGTGATCTTTGCGTTGTAGATACGTTGGCTTGGTGTTTTGGTTGTCGAGTGTCTGGCGGTGCGAGCGAGGTTATTCGCAACGCTGGGCCCCTGGGACTCGCTGCCAGAACTACCCCTCCACTAAGTCCATGCAGCCCGTACGTCATTTCCAGTACAGGCCCTCTATAACATTACATTTCACCCTAATGCTAGTAAGTTTGATGCTATTCAGGGACTGCGTTCTTTGTCTAATATCAAAGTGTTTGCCCCAGTCTTTAGGTCAAGGTCCCTGATTTCCGGTACTCCTTTGATACTTGCAACAATCAACGATGCCTGACCTTTTCCAACGAGTCAAACTTTCTCAGCACGACAACTATTAACTTCCCTTTGCCTTGTCCTTCTTTCGCATAATGGAATTCATGTTTGGCGGTGATGGCGGTGACTGATGTCTCAGCGTTCGTGCATATCCCATGCTGTACAGAGGCCCCCAACAACTCAGGTACATACTGGAGAGACTTCTATCACATTTCCTAAGCTTCTCCCTCGTACTGACTGTCATGAGATGCAGATATTTGTAACAAACCATATCAGATGGTACAAGAGACGACATCCAACGAACGATAAAGCAGCAACCTCAGCGGCAGCGGCCCCTCGACCCTACACAACACAGCAGCAGCGCCATCATGAGTTCTAAACAATCCTTTCTCTCTGTTGCCAGAGGCATTGGATGATGTAGGAACAAGGCCTAATTTGCCCAGGGGGCGCGGCGCTTTTGAGCCAGACAGCCAGCTTGAGCTCCTCAGGAAGTAGAGAGAGTGGGACAGGACGCTTCTATGCTTTCCCAATATTCTTTCTGCGATAATAATAGTATCAAGACAAGAAGCCGCTGGGTGTTTGGCTCGTAAGTGTCTCGCTTGTGTTGAGCGCCTGTATGGTCTATGAGAAGGCAAGTCCACGAAGACACGAGAGATGGCATCACACTGACAGCTCGGCTCCCCAAACCTTCAGAGATATATAGGGATTTCTTCAGAAACTCAGAACTGTTTCCTTCCGTCTGGCTCGCCTTCCCTTGCTCAGAGACCAGTCACGACACTGCGACCAAAGGACGTGAAGAGCTGCCACCAGATGGCCCAGGAGGCTCTTCGACTCCTTGGCCTTCAATGACTCTTACCAAGCTTTCTTGAGGTGTTTCAGTCTGTCTTATTTGTCCTTCGCAGTCTAATCAAGCATGCTGGTCCTGGAGTGGCTAAAGGGGCGTTCAGGGGTAACTCGGAGTGCAGGAACCAACAGCTAAATCCTCTTCCACCACGAACAGTTGCGCGCCTGATAGCGATAAATCCAGCTTCCTATATGCTTCAACAGTAATCTGCTGTATTATGGAGTGGCTAGGTGCTCGCACTGAAGTGCTAGATTCAAAGGGGGGAGTTGGTGCTGCTCACAGATCCCACACCCCGAGGTCTGACCATAAACAAGGGCACCAATGACTCTAAGTAATCATCATTATGGGTAACTGATGTTGCTTCAAAATCTGAAGCCAACTTTTTAGTACACAGGGTGCTGTCTAGCGCTTGAGTTTGAGCTTTTGCTTGAGATTCATCGAATCTTCAAACGCGGCGCTTTTTTTTCTGGAACTTCCTATGCAGATTACTGGTGGTCAATCATGATATCGTTACAAGTATCTACCTTCCCTTTATGTATCATCGAGAAATATGCAGTGTGCTGACTTCTATCGTTGATTCCAGGTTTCTGTTTCCGCTCAACCCCTGAGCCCACCGACCGCCGCTCGCAAGACACGCCAAGTATCGCAGTCGACCTGACAAAAAGCTTTCCCCTGTCATCTATATTTATATGAATAAGAAGGATGTCGAGTATCTCTGGAATTGGGGTTGAGCGCAGCTCTTGGATGTGATAGGAGGTGGATGGTCCCTTAGTAGGCCCAGTCACGCAGAAGTGCGCAGGACTCTGTTGGACTTCACAAAACATACAGATTGTGGAACTCAGAAGGATAAGAACTCTCATGTCTTAAACTTCAGAGTTCGCGTTTCTGAGAAATTGTCACTTGTCCGGTGGTGTTGGAATAGCTGCTGAGAGAGAAGACGGGTTAGGAATCCAAGCATTTATATACATTCTGTGTATATTGTCGTTTATGTTCCCTCAAAACTGCTGACTTCTCAAAGGTTGAGTGTAGTGTATATGTATGTAATACCTTGGCTTGTCCTCCGATCCAAGATTGACATTCGGGGGTTAGGAGTAGTTAAAGACACTTAGAGGATGACCTTGTGCTTACAGACTTGAAATTGGCCAGTCCTCCTTCGCTTCGCTATTCATCAGGTTCAGGATCATAGGCCGTCACACGGAGGCTCATACTTGTCCATGGACTACAAGTCCGATCGGAGAGCGAGGATGTCACTACTGCGCCTAAAGTTGTTGACTCCAGCATGATAAAACCATCTCAATCATATTTATAACAATTTGCGATACAAGATCAAAGCTGTTCTCGTAGCCTTGGAATTGTTCTTGACACCTTCAGCAGCGCGGTGTATTGAAAATTTTGACTATTCTGGCTATCATAAGAATCAGGCTCCCGAGACATTGAATGTCGTATTTAGCATGCGAGTTTCCAAGGGCCTCTGTTTGTGTAATAGCAGTTCATGGGGTGGGTCACTATCCACTGCTATCTTGTCATCTCACCTAGGTTAGGGACATCTCACAATCTTCCAGTTTTGAGGTCGTGAAACAGGCATTGCAGAAACCGTCAAAGTATTTGGGGCATGTTTGAATTGAGAACTAGATGTGTTATTTGCAGTTGATACCAGAAGCCTGTCGTCGTCCCTTCAGCCATGCACCAAAGCTCTCACGGCTTTCTTTCATCTTGGCGGCTATTTCGTTAATGCCTTGAACTGTCACGGATGCACTCCATTGAATGCTCCTGATATATCCTTGGTCAACCTTCCTGCGTAGTTATTGGTGACGGTTCTTTGTGTAGATTTACTAGTTGTTAGGGCCCTCAGCGGTTGAGACCACCTTTCGTGACTTGGGGTTGAGGTACGCCTTGATCTGGTTCGGGATGGCTGCTGTTCGACCTCTAGAGCCAACGACGGACAATCATTATCCAAAACAAGTAGTACAGAGAAGATAGAGGGGGCGTGGTATTTAGTCAGTATGATGACTGCCTACCAAGGGTTCTCCACGTCGAAACAAAGATTGTCGTTCGACTCAAACTTGTCCAGTGCCGTTTGACGATTACGTTCATGGACTCCACGATGTAAGTGTATGAGAATGGTGGATCGGACTTGTCCATGGGAAAGAGTTTTGTCTTTTCCCATTTTCCCAAAATGCTCGCGGCTCACTTTCATCTTGGCCACAACTTCTTTGACATCTCTCTCCATGAGGATCCAACTGTTGTAGTTTGATGTGGAACACCCACGACAAGTCTGTGCTGATCTCAACCAAGTACAGCAGTTCTTGGTTGGGACATTGACAGCCTGCCGTGATATTCCAGACCAAACCGAAGATGACCATTCTTCTCAAACGTGTCAATATTTGAGGATCTTGTCTCTCCTCATCACCGCGAAACGCCCACAGCTCTCTTTCATCTTTGCAACAACTTCTTTGGCATCTCTCTCTATGTATATGCGACTGTTGTATCTGGTCGGGATGATGATAGCCTGCTCGGGATGTTCGAGGTCAAACCGAAGAATGTCGTTCGTTTCAAATGTCTCGGTGGCTAGGGATCTTGTCTTTTTTTCCCCGAAACAATCACGGCTCTCTTTCATTTTGGCAACAACTTCTTCGACGTCACTCTCCATTAGAATCTGGCTGTTGTATTTGGTTGGGATGAGGATAACCTGCTCGGGATGTTCAAGATCCAACCGAAGAAAGTCGGTATCGAACATCTCCGTGGTCAGGGGGTAGTGGTGGCTCATATATGGCGACAGCCTGTTCGAGATATTCGAGATCGAAACGAAGAAAGTCGTTTGTGCCGAACATCCCGGGGGCTAATGACATTGTCTGCTCCGCTGGCGGGTGTCGTCGATTTGTTTCTGCTTGGGGTCTGTTCGCCCCATCGCGCCGAAATGCTCTCAACTTTTCTTCATGCTTGCAACGTTATCATCTCCGCCTTCCTGCATCATGCGGCCGTTGTATTCGTCGGCACCAGCTCAAATGTGATGTCAAATAATCGTCCGCTGGTATCGACAACTCAATTCAGTTGAGCTTGATGTTGGCAACATACTTCTCAGCAGCGGCTGAGTCTCGAAAATCCACACAGGTGAACTTGAACGCAGTTCCAGTGCTGGCTAGGTCATCCTCGACCAAGACTCGTACTAATGCTGCCTTTCTAGGATGCTCCAGGTCGACGCTCAGATAATCATTGCTCTCGAACATGTCCGGGCTCACCGGCTAAGAGGGACCCCCTTGGCCTTCGAGGTGCCACATTTGCCTTTCCAGGAGGAAAGACGAGTCCCTGTTACTAGGCGAGTGACGTTAGCGGCCTGCAGGATGAACACCAGGATGTCTTCCTCGTACCGAGAACAGGGCCTGTCCAAGCCCGATAGCTAGTCGGATGGTCTTGAAGCTGCAGCTTTCTGGGTAGTGAATTCAGGATGGAAGCACTATTGGCACAGTGGGTGGCTGTCGTTGAGGAAGATGGCGTTCAATTCGGGGCTGTTAAAGGTGAGGTGTGTAGTGTATGGTTTTAAGGCTTTCTGCACAGTATGTGTGCCTGCTGGTTGGATCCCAAACACCAAGGTCTTGGGCATCTTGAAGCCTGGCTCGTCTGTTCATGTGCTGACCTGTTTCTGGCAATGCAGAAGCTTGATTCAGTGCTGCGGCAGATGTTAGTACCGCTAGTACTGCTCAGACTAGAGTGAAAGAAAGACGAGACGAGCTCAGATCATCCGCGTTCATCTTACCTGACTAGCTTTGTGGTGTAATATTTGACATTTACATGAAGGAGTGATGAGAGCTGGATGTGATATGTTGGCAGCAGCGAGTGAAGTGAAGTCTACGGCAGGTCAGTTCAGTACTTCATCCCAAGAAAAAGCGCGTTAGGCTTACTCGAGAGGATGAAAGGTAGTTCTAGAAGTCGGGGTTTTCGGAATGTGTGAAAGCGAGAGGGGGGTCGAAATGTAAGGGGATGAGATATCGGGGACAGGATTCGATGAAAGACCAAGGGGAAAATATAGACTGTCGAGCATAATAAGACTGGATGATGTTTACTTGGGGCATGGCTGGTGTTTCTGATGATATGGGCGAGGCAAAAGTAGAGAACTCCTAAGATGGCAAAGTGAAGTGGGGAGGTGCAGTATGCAAGCCATGCAGTTTATAACTCGACGATTTCTCGGGCAAGACCTTGTGTTGAGCAGTCACGAGTGGGTCTTTCAACATTGGACGACGCAAAGATAAGCAGGAACTGCGGCAATCCGGGCAGAACTGCTCCAGGACTGGCTGCATACGGTAGCGGATATCCCCTGTCCCTCCCGCGGGGCCACCTAACTTGCTTCTGTTACACGGAGCTACCCACCTACAAAAGGTGGCCCATCCGAGACCCAGGCTTATTTGCTAGCCTGTTGTCTAAGTACTTGGCCAGTAATTTGTGGCCGGCCAGTCTTTGTGAGATGTGGTCAGGCAATCACAGCAGTCAATTCAACAATCTCTTTGCTCAACACTGCCACTCTCTCCTCTTCCTCGAACAGCAATTCCAGCAATATCATAGCTGTCACCTTGTTGATATCCTTTACTTCGACATTCATAGCTTCAAGGCGTTGGAGTTCTCTCGACCATCTTCTTCTCTTCAAGTTTGTCTGATGAGCTCAAGATCCTCAAATACTTGCAAGCTCCGATACGTTCTCTTCAGCTCCAATGGTCTTGACCAAAGGCCACTCCAACTTTTGCTCCTATTCTAATATTTCCTATACATAGGTGATTGAGCTTGGTCAACATCATCCCAGCCTCGCCAGATGCTTTGTAGCCAACTCTAGCATAACAATACAATTCGTACGCTAGCCACATCCATCTTGCAAGAAGAAAGCAGTTGCTGGTCACTTATAGCCTCTTCGCAACACAAGCAGACTCTCATCCCAGAGAAACAAGTATCCACACGGATCCTGGAACTCGATGCCTGACACAATTAGCCATCACTTCCCACACAGGCTTGAGACTCTTAACGCTTTACCTGTCTCAGAATTCTGCATCAGCGAAGTTCCCGTGCCTTCAATATCGAGGCTCAGCTTCAATGTCAGAGCACATCCCCGTTATCTAGATGTAATATACTCTCGCTTACATGGAACTGATCCACGCTCCTTGACACAATTCGAGACTTCTCAAGGTATAAGACTTCTCAAGGTATAAGACTTCTCAAGGTATAAGACTTCTCAAGGTATACTGGTCATTTCTTGTCTCCTCTTCATATTCTCCGGTCGTAGCTGATAACTCGAGTCACCAGATTAGTCCATCGGTGTTTCAAACCGCCTCAACAGCTCACCCTGCGCTCAGAATTTCTCGAACGTTGTTCTATTTTCGACTATAGTTCTACCCCTGATAGCAACTCGACTTCCGGGCCCTTGATACCTTCGCTCATTGTGTCTGCTGTCCTGGGGCTCGTGGCGGCGCCAGTTTTGGCCATACTCCGACCCTTGTAACATACTGGCACGCATCCACGAGCTTTTAACCTTGTCAGTTCTCTATCTTGTCATCTTGTCTTCTAAGGCCACTTGCCAACAACACTCCTATTGTATTACCTTCCACTCAGGGGTCATGATCTTTGGCAACCGCACCGTGCCATCCTGAATGAAGTTGTGGTCACGCCAGGTCTTTCCATCACAGGATCTCTAGCGCTGTTATTTATCAAGCATGCCACACATCAGCTTACTGGCACCCCATCTACAGCTCCTTTCCTCTCAGAACCGAACCTTGACTAATGCAGAGTAAGTGAAGACTACCAGCCTACCTCAAGGGCAAAGGACAAGACTCAATAAGCGGCAACGACGAACCCTCGCCATGGCTTCTTCCGACGCTAGGTCGGTTTCTTATCCGGAGAGAACCAATAAAAGCTCATCTGAGGATGAATCTGCTGTTAATGTTTCCACCACCGGTACCGGCTGTCCAGGCTCGACCTTGGACGAGAGCCAGCACACGGTACTGCAGATATGGTATCTTCCTTCAACCGAGCACTAGTCGGTCGCCTGTCTGGATGGATGTTTCGTCTCATCTTTGACTAGTTTCTGTGTTTGCCTAGATGCCTCATGTTGGCTGGGCAGGGGTTGTGCTCTGGAAAGCATATCCTAGCCGTAGGATTGAGATAACCCCCGGCTCCTGTCGTTACGAATTTCTTTTTCCTCGATATCTGAGTGTATTCATATCTAAGAAGATTGTCTTTCTTTTCAGGAGTGTTTCGTTTCATCTAGATGAGCTAGAATCTCTTCAAACCTGAAAAGGGGTTGCCCTATTTCGTTGCCTCCCTTATCCCTCGCCATCTTCTTTCACTAACATAATTCTCAAGATATCCAGGCTGCATCTCATGTACGAACTCTCCGTCACCCTAATCTCCCTCCGGAACCGTCGGAGCGGTCAATACCTGCGAATCTTGGCTAAGGTTCCTGTCGAAACCTTTTGGCTCTTCCTCCATGATCCATCATTCCAGCCACCATGGATCACTCTGGATAACTGAGTACTGCAAAATGATAACGATTCAAAGTATAGTCATCCATGATCGGATTCGAAAGAGCAAAGGGATACGGCAGGTCTAGCATCGATGTGTATCCTCAGAGACGGCTTTTAGTTCTTGACTTCGTCACAGCAGCACTTCTAAGATGAATACACCTTTCGGCTTGTATTATGGGATGGCTCCAGGGGGTTTTGGATGATCTGCGCAAGGACCCCGCGCCATACTCTAACCAGGAGCATATTTAACAGATGACGATGATCATATTGACGCTACCTACTGCCAGGTTTCACTCCACCTTTCTCTATAAGAACATTATAACTTGCCAATACACGCGAATAACATCTTTGCCTTAACGGCCTTAGCATGAGATAATGTCCTTCGGTAATAATGGGAAAATGCCGTTCAGCTTATGACACTGGGCCATCAAGTTTCTTGGGTCGTGCCAAAACACTGACAGGTAATCTGCTGTTTCCCCAGATCAGTTTTCCTACCATATACACTCTAAAAGCATACTTACACGATCATTTCGGTCGCCTCTTCTCACATATAGTCCAAGTAACTCCCCTATCGTTGCGACATTACTTCTGAGAAAGAGGTCACTCAATGGCCCCCTTGTCCTGCTGTTTACTCCCGGCTTAGGATCATCTTAACGTGCAGTTTGTCTATGCTCTACCAATATAATAATAGTATTTCTACTCTTCACTACCTATGATCTTGAAGCAAAAATGGTAAATAAATTCGACCGTTGAACAACTTGCATATTGTGATGAAGAGTTCGTCTCGAACATTACAGGCAAATATACTTCCTTCACGATACGGCCTACCCTGGACTCTTTCCTTCCTGAACTCCGTTAACACTGCGCTTCTCTAAGCATTCCTTATTTTGATAATGAACATACTGTCTCTTGTCGCTTTTGGATTATTTATATTATTTAAAACAGATTTAGCTGCGTTTTGGTGCTGAGTAGCCACATTCTTGCTGGACTTTGTGAAAGAACATATTTCGGTATGCAGGCATGTGCAATCACTTCTATCAACAACCCCTCACATATGATTCTTGCGAGTAATAACAGACTTGAAAACATACAGCAGAACTCTGCTGTACCATGATGAGTACGAAACATGTTATTTCGATAATGATCTACTTCTACATATCGAATACGCTCTCCTGATCCCATGTAGTTCTGAGTGGAGTGTCGGCTTAAGTAAGCCTACATAAATGGGAACGGGGCTTGTGAGGCGCTGTGGCAGTGATAGTTGTTATCTTATCTTATCCTGAAGCCTAAGCGTCACTTGGTCTTAGTGGGAGCTTGCTTCAGGGCAGCTTGCGACACGCGACGACTAAGACGATACCCTCATCGCTAATAGCTTTAACCATACGAACGAAGGCTATAGGCATGCCGCGACGTCCGCCTGCTGTGGACGATTATGCGTCCGCTGTTCCGCATGTACAACTCCCTCCTCCCCATGATCGTAGCAGAACCATGCGCTAACCTGCCACCTCTCCAGGTCATCCTCGCATCCTCTGACGCCGAGTTCCTCGATCAGTTGATACCCGTCCTCAAAGATGCCACACACTCGAACCGAACACCTCTTTTGACTCAATGCTTAAGCCGGTACTACGAAGAGCGGGAAGCTGAAATCGAGCGCATCGGTCTGACCAGGCATGAGGAGTTCCTTGATTCCATCAATCACCTTCAAACCGTCCGAGCGGAAACAG